GTCTTCTTAGTCTTATTTCAGCCTCTAATTTACTTAAATTGTATTTTGTCTTTGGGAGAAAAAACTGGCTAAAAACAGAGTTTGACAAAAATGTTCTTAGGGTTTCCAGAAAAAGTAAAACGGCATGTGATTCTAATGACCAATATGTTGATCCTAGCTTCTTGCCATTTATCTTTACATTGCAAGACTTATACAATAGTCAAGTTTAACCGGTTTCGACAAGGTGTTTTGCTGAGCAAAGTATCTATAAGAGTATATTATTATGAAATTTACCCTTTTTAGTTGAGGTGATTATCTGTTTTCTTGCTTTTACATGATAAATAGTAATGGAATACATTATATTCATCTTATATGTAAAACACTTATGAAATAAAGTGAGAATTGAAAACCAACAACCGTGAGATGTTTTTCTTCGAGAATTTATACTTCAACGTCAAAAATTGGTTGAAAAATATTATTAAGTTATTCTTGTTATTTCACATTGAGTTTTTAATAAAAAAATTTCTATTTGTAAATATTGCATTTTTATCGTGCTTAACTTCAGAACAATGTTTGGCCTCAGACAGTTTGAATTCCGTAGGGACATTTATCTGGTCAAATAGGTGATATATTAACAAATAATCTCTTGAAGGGTATATGCTATTTAGATTTCATGTCCACCTCTAAATAATAACTGAATCAATTCAAAATTATTACTTAGTATACACAAAAGCAATTAATATATATTTAGTTTTTAAGATCATATTTAGCGATTTCAAAATGATATTTGTCAATATTCATTAGACTTTTGAGGAGAACTGTAGTTAGTTCGTGCATAGCATTTTACTGTAGAAAAATATAATATAACGTTTCCTTTGTAAGTTGCTGCCAATAAACCTGCAACAAGTAATCTAGGACGACCTCTAAACACAAACATAAACCACTTGCTTAGCAACAATATTTTAAAGTAAGCGTTGAGTTTACCAATAAATAATGCCATTCAGTCTTAGAGACTGGTTGACAGTCACTAAAAATGGATGAGTTTGCAACACTTGATGACTGGAAGCGTTTCCTGTACGTGATGGTATTCACTATAAAGATTGTATTCTCGAATTCCGTACTGATCTTTATCAAATATTTGTAATAATATAACCTTTAAATTCATTGATAGCTTTGCAGTAATCACTGTCGTGTGTGTCTTCTAGTTACTAGTGATTGAGTTTTATTGATCAAATTACAATGAGAGCAAGTTTGTATGTTTTATCATCTCGTGCAATTTGTTTGAATCTTCGGCAGCTGGAACAATAAGTACTGGACTTACATTTGTGGCCATACGTATTTTAAAGAAACTGAGCTTTACATAGGGTTTTGGATTCATGTTTACAGTTATTGTGGTCAAAAATGTTATAACGAGCTTCCTAGACCGGTACTTCGACGCCTAACTAAAGCTCGTGAAGATCAGACTAGACAAAAACAGGCTTTTTTTCGATCTGAACGTGGTTGTATAGACCAGATATTCAGACTACGTTACGTCTTAGAACATAGAAACACATTCATACGCCCCCAACAGTAGTATTTCTCGACATTAATGCGGCATTTAACTCTGTCAATCGTGAGGAGTACCAAAGAAGTACATTTACCTCATAAAGACTCTCTACTCGAACACAACAGGTCAAGTGGGAGCTAATGGTGAACTGTCATCGGAAGTGATTAACTCAAGTGGCATTCGTCAGAGCTGTTCACTCTCTCCATTGTTGTTTAACTTCATCGCTGACGTGCTTTTAGAGATAACACTTCCCTCATCTAAATTTTCAGGGGTTGACCTTTCACAGAGAGATTCACTTGTTGACTTAAAATATGCCGATGACAGTTCTATTTGGGTGAAGACGTTGACAAAATGCCGTCTTCTGAGCACCAGATAAGCTACAATGCAAGCATGTTTGGGATGTAATTCTCCCCCCTTTGAAATGCAAAATGTTACTTCAGGATGGGGTTGCACCGACACCTAAACTAATGATAGGGAGTGAAGTAGTTGAGCGTGTCGACCACTCCAATTATCTTGGGAGTCACATCAGCCTTTGTGGTCTGGTGTGGGACGAAATCTCAGCACAAATATACAAAACTCGGCCCGCTTTTGCCAACTTGCATCATTTATGGCGTAAGTGAGGTATCCGTTAACTTACCAAAGAACGAGTTTACTGCGCAGCAGTGTGTTCCGTCCCACTTTATGGCCGTAAAACATGGCCGGTAAGGGTAGAGGATATTCAAAGGTTACTAGTATTTGATCACAAGTGTCTTCGAAGTATTGCTTGTATATCCTGGGACCATCGAGTAAGTAATGCAGTTGTTAGAAAACAGGTGCCAGGTGAGGATGGCAAACCAACTGATGAAGTAGTGAAACTTCATCAGTTGAGATGGCTGGGACACGTGTTACGTACCCCGAAACACCAACTGCCCCAACGTGCGATGTTTTATGAAAGAGGTTGGAAGAAATATAGGGACGGCCAGACCAAAACATGGCACAAATCCATGAAGTCACTGACAAGTGGACTGAACCATGTTGATAAGTGTAGACTGCTTGGTTGGGATCCGCGTGATGGTAGCAACAGATGGTTATAAACCTTGAATGGTTTGGCTCAAAACCGTTTGCAGTAGTGCAGGCGCATACACTCTTTGTGTTCTTCCAAATTCTAATCTTCTGAATTCTTCATTTTCCATTTTTCGCTTCTCGAATTCACTTCACCAGATTATACTCCTTAAATAACATCTTCAAACCCTAATCTTTCCGATTACTGCTTATACTTTTACTACGTCTACCAGTATTGGATTTGAATAGACAATTGTATTTGTAAAACAATGAGTCCCTTTGATAAATTTCGATAATGATATTAGAAGACGATAATCTTCGTCTTCTAATATCATTATCGAAAATGTATTTGTGTTGTAATGTGGTGTGCCAACTCGAACTAAAGTACGCACGTACGTAAGAATTTCTACGTTGTTGATGACTGATTGAGAACGATACCGATATTTTAGATGACTTAAATACTGACACTGTTTTTTTAATTACTGGTTCTCGCTATCAATTAGCGATAAGTTGTGAGTTGATAACGCGTGAAAACGTTTTTAAGCTCTTAGTTTGTTAAGAAAACAGTAAGGATGTTGGCAGTAAAATGGCATTATTGCCATAAAAGCTCGCTTGGAGTGTAATCAACGTATGAAGTGTATTATTTTCAAAATTATGTCTTATCTAGACATTATTTGTACTCAGTAAAAATATTTGTGGCACGATTTCGAAAACGATGAACTTGGTAAAATACCGGGGGATTAAAATTGAAAATAATGTATCAAGTTGTAGGTTAGCAAAGAAAAGCCGAGACACTTTCTTTGTCAAATGAATGATAAAAATTTATCATAGGAATTCTTTATAAAGTAAATTGTTCACCTTAATTATATGTGTATGACTGTTATTGAGAAGTTTAGCTTAGTGTTAAGCGTTGTTAGTTAGATGAAAAACTTAATTTTTATTTGGTTTCAGGTGTTCCAAGTTGTATAAGTTGTCGTTGCAGTATCAAAAGCTTTATGTCTTGGTATGTGCCATGAGTTTAAACATTAACCCTAAATTAAAACTTACCGGGACTTTTGAAAGGGATTATATATGTATAAATATTTCTTACTGGATTTGTTTAATTTTCAAAGGACTGTTATTGGGTGGTAAAGTCCCATATAACAAATACTGGAAAACTGTTTTCGCCATTCAGAAAATAATTCATTTTGAATACCGAATTAATCTTGCTTTACTTTTCGGATTTGTAAAAGGATACTCATTTAATCATTTTAATTGAACTCTATTAATTACCACCGAGACTTGATAACCATTCCACTAAACGGAGAACATTGTAAGTTTTCACTCAAAGTATATTCAGCTTACTGAGTGTGGGCTACATAGGAAACTGTATTATATGATATGACGTTATCGTTCTGAACATCTTAATTTATTGATAAACTATATGCAGGAAGGCGATGACGCTTTTCCAAGACGAAAATACCAGTTCATCGATGATTTATATATAGCACTCAATTGGCCAACTATTCGAAATATAGACTTGTGGTTACTTATTTGTAAATGTATAATTACATTGTTTGCAGGCATTTCATTTTTGTAGTTCAAAAATCCTTATTTACATCACAAATTCATGGAACTTCGACAATCCGGATAAGTTAATTATTGTCTAGAAGTAAATCTTGATGAGGGAAAGTAGAGTAAGAGCTAAGTAAAATTCACGAGTGAATTCAGTTTGTGGATTGGTATTACTAATGAAAGTCACTATTAAAGCTTTTTAGGTTGCTTTTATGTATCGGAAAAAAAGACGCTCATATTTTATCACCTCTCATTAAGTATCACTATCACGTTTGTAAAACAACCAATATCCAATTGTGTATGAGTCTATGAATCTTGAGAATGCAGGTGCATCGCACCTTGAACTGTGTTAAACAACGACTAAGGGTATAAATACACCTGAGTTGGAGGATCAGCAGAGTTATAATGAAAGGAGATTAGATCTGATGAGCTGGATGGGGGAGCAATAATCACAGTACTTATATGTCTAACTTACTTTTATGATTTTACATCAAACTGAAAAAAAGGATTTAGATGTTATAGTTAAATTTACTCACTAAACAGTTTCGAAAGTTCTGTTATTTCATGAAGATTCGCAACTAATACTAGTTGTTATTGATTTTATAATCAGAGTGCAGAAAAACAGTTATCTTCTTGACCTCGATTTATGTACTGACTCCAAATGATTTTTACAATAAATCTATATCCATTAATTTATGTACTTGCATAATTCACTTGATTTGATGACATAACATTTACATGCAACAGTTCAAGTGCACTATATCCCATGGTATTCGAGGTCTTCTGATTTACTTTAAACATATGTTAATTGTCAATTATTAATTTTTTAAAATATACCGATTGGATAATTATAAAATAAGAATATTATTTGTAGGCATTCACTGTCTAACTACAAAGTAAACTGAACATTGATGTGGCGAGTTGATTACTCTTCAAAATACAGTAAAAAATTGTTACGCAAATGAGTTTTTGGGATAAAAGTGAAATTTCAGTGGTAAAATATGTTCGTTTGAATACCTGAGATCATGATAAGGTAAGCTTTTTAAAACAATATCTCTTTGACTTTATTCAAGCTTTTAAAAGAGTTTGTTTAGTTGTAAATATTTATTTTAACAAAACAAAAGTTAAAGTAATTACAGAATATGATGAAGTCATTGCATTTTCTCTCTTTGATAAAACTGGATATAATAGTGATCATAGTTGGTTTAAATTATTAACACAAAACATTTTCAAAGAGTTGTTTTTGCAGATCAATTAAATTTTTGAAAATGTAAACTTGTAACGAAGGCTGCAAATTGATGTGTTTGGAAAGTTTATATGAATAAGTATGGTGATGGCTCAATATCTGACGTTTATATTCAAAAAAGTCTATGATTAATCTTTAACTGTTTTGGTAATATATAGGAAACTGTTAAGAACTTTATTTTCATCTTTTAGCAATTTTCTTTCTTAGTTTTCTATATTCTTCGTAAATCGTTTGTTACATTAATTAATAATATTCCAGAATATTCACTATAATTATTCGTTAAAATGATTTGAACACATGAATTCGGATCATTCATTACAAGTTTACATTTTGAACAATTTTACTGATCTGTGAAAACAATTCCCTAAAAGTTCTATGTTAATAGTATAAACAAATAGATTTATTACCATATATGCAGTTGAAGAGAAAGCACAAAATAAAGTAAACTCATAACATCCTGTCAATATTTTTATTCTATCTTTTTTTAAACGTTTTGGGCAAACTAATTGCATTGTTGTTTCCTTACAAACTAGCTTATTGGTACTCAGCATGTCTAAAAAGCGTTTGTAGTCATAATCTATTATTCTCAAGTGATTAACCTTAGTAATCATCAAATGAATGTATTAATATTTTCTATGCTTTCTATTTACTGTTTGTTTCTGCAGAAAAATAATAAACTTCATAAAGTATATCAAACAAATATAGTGTGAGACATTTTAAATAATGGTTATAAGGACTTGTGGTACTTTTATTTTGTTATAGCACTTAGTGAATGCCTAAAAGCAACACCTCAATGTAACACAGTTTACAAAACCAAGAAAAAATTTATCATAGTTGTTGGAAGGTTTGTTCCGTGTTTTTAGTTTTTCATACTCAATTTTCATTGATACGACATTGTTCCCTAGTTTGACGTAGTTGAAATAGTGAAATTTTATTAAGGGATGAATAAAAAGTAAAATTTTCGTTCACATGAAGTATATTTTAAAGCTTCCTCATAGGATGACTTGTAGTATAAGACATTTCAAATAAATAGTTACTTTTTGTATTCACTCATAACTATAATTTGACTAAAGGACATGAACAGATCTTCACTATAGGTATCTGTTCTAAGAAAATGTCTTTTGATCAAGTGATCAGTTGGAGTTACCATTTCTGAGTTATAGAGCAGATATTGAAGCCCACTGGTTAAATATTTAGAAATTTCGAGCGTAAAAATGTGTTCTCAAAACCACCTATTTCTCTCTCTCTCAATATATATGTCAGACATAAATATGAAGGTTATTAAACTAGAACCAAACAATAAATTAACTGAAAATAATGATTGAGGAGAATAATCAGCATTATAGACAACAACAGAGTTTTAAAACGAATAGATTTTAATGTAAAGATAACTTTACATCTGGAAGTAATTCAGCTCAAAAAATGTACAGAAATTCACACTTTCGTCATAGCTTTAAGGTGAGGGAAATGGAGCTTTTTTTAAGTACATATACAATTTTATATTGATGGATAAATTAAAATAATGGTAATTTTATCTGCTTCATTTTGTAGTTGTCATATAAATTAGCACATTAAAACTTACATTAATTTTTTATGCACTGATTCTCTTCCTAAAACTATCTGTAGTTGATTAGAACCAATGAAAAATTAATGAATTTGTTTTATTCCGTAAATATTTTTCTGATTGTATTGTTTAAAATTACTGATCAAAGGATTAGAATATATAAAAAATGTTGCTTTATGATTCTCAAAAAATACATTAATATAGAACACTAGATACCGAATGAATTTATATTAACCGGGAAATATGCATACAACACAAAAACGGTATTGTACTCAGAATCAGCCGACAGCAGTTACAATTGATTCTTCTGTTAATGAAATGGAAAATGAAGATTGGAATAGATTTCTTGAAAATGACTTTACTAAATTTATGGGGATTACTTCACGGCAAAATTATTCATTTAACGATCAGTCTATTATATATAATCCAAATGATACCATTACTACTTCTAATATTATTAATAATAACAACATTCCTATCACATATAAAATGAATGATAATAATAAAAGTGGCAGTGTAAATAAAAACATTTTGGGACACGGCAAGGAGTTGCAAGAAAATTGTTCTAATGACAATAATCTTAAAATTACTCCTAATTGTGATTGCTCAGATAATGATCTATCATGGACAAAGGATGTTTTCAGTTCAAAGCATTATACCACTAGCTCTCTTGCTTTGACAAGTGGATTTATCAATGACACAAAAATGCAAAATAATCATCCAATCAGTAATGAATTCATTTCTGGAGAAGAATACCAACAATCTAACTATCTGTATGATCAACACTTTAATTCTACACCTGTACAATTCTGTTCACAAACTGATTATTCTATAATGAAAACTGTGAATTATCCTTATATTATTGATAACGAACATCCACATTATCTTAGTGAGTACATTCAATCAAGTGACACAGAGTATTCAAATTATCATAATAATCTTCATATGGATTTAAGATCAAATGTCTCTGATTTTACCGATACTAGTATTGCTAGTGATCCAGATTATCAGAACCAAAGCGAATCAAAAGCAAAGTCATCAATCATGTTTTTAAATGATCACTTGTGTGCGCCACAAGCACCAACTATAGAAAATTTAAAGTCATGTAATCCTTTAAGCCAGGAAAATTCCTTTGAGAATGGATGGCTTGATGGTCAAAACAAAACACATTATTGTGCTAACTGGTCAGTTGATTGGACAAATAATACTGAGTCAAATAGTCGACTAAACTATCATTCATATAATTCAAAGAATATTCCTATAAACTTTGACAGTTTCCGATGTTTAGGTAAGTAAGAGTAATCATACTCGCTTTTAAACTCTAAATGAATTTTCTGTATTTCACGTTTAAGGTAACGTTTATTCAGTTATTATAGTTATTAATAGTAAGTTGCAGATAACTATCACTGCCATGTCATTATTGTAATACAAAGACGATAATGAAGAATTTAGTAGTTGAAAAAGTGTCTGCTGGGTAAAAATTAGGGTTACTTTACGAGTTGTCTAAAATGCCTTCTAAATACACTATTAAATACTATGTATGTCGATAAAAGTATTTCATGCATACATTTCCTGGTATTATCATGGAAAATCTAGAGAACCTGCTGGAATAGAAGAACATAAATCTACTATATTTTATTTGATTATAAATTAGCTTTCTAATTAAAATATTTTACTAGTATCAGTTTTACAAACGGACGTTCATATGTAATATATATCATTTTAATGAAAAAACAGCAGCTATAATTTGAGTTTATCTCTTCCTTGTGTTCGTTTATCTACACCCAATGATGATTAGTCACCACAATAAAGAAAGCACATTTTCCAAAGTTGCTAATGTCCCAGTGAAATTAAGTTTTAAGTTTAATCACAAACTGTGGTATAGATAATTCATTTCTGTATTAGTTTTTTGAATCTTCCCATTGCAGTCCTAAACATCAATGAAACGATTCAAACAACCAATACAAAAATGCGTTAAAATTCCTTCCCTTTGCATAAGCTAGTGACCATCTGGACTTGGTACCTAAGGGGATAACGAGATGGCGATGGCAGAGAATGGTAGTGGGTTTGGGTTCCGGAATCAACATCATATGACGAGTCTCAAATAGGAAGAAACGCGCGCCCTGGATTCCACTGCTAGCCACTATCCATCTTTGTTTATAATGCTGCTAGTATAGGTACTCCGAATGTATCAAAAAAGGCATATTGTAATGAGCGATCTGAGTTTCAAGGGTTGAAGCATTCCCATACAAGTAAACGCGTTACAATAGTTAAAAACCTTTTGTAACAGTTGCAGTGCCTGTAAAGTCTTAAAATATTTATCTTGGGAAATTTTAGTAGCACAATCTACAGATCAAAAATACTACATATGCTTTGCATGTTGTGGTACTTGTAAACTTTTTCTGTAATGCAAAATGGAGAAGTGATAAAACCATGTCAACTTTTGAGATTATAGTCTGATATGTAGGTTAGATTGATTAATAATTTCCATATGTATGCTCGCTGTTTAAGATTGCATGACTATTAACAGTGATATATGCCAATAATACTTCGTCTTTTCGTGTGTTTGCAAATCTGATTACCATAGTGGTTTGTAAGTAAACATGTAAATCCCTGGTTAATGAATAGTAAAAATGATTCAAATGAACTTTTTTGAATGGAATATCTTTAATTAAACACTAATTTAACGTTGTGGGAACATCCTCATCAAAGTAACTTCCACTGACAATAATCATTTTGTTCTTTGGATGACTGTAGAAGTTAGAAAGAACGATTCACTGTTTTTCCGTGAAAAATTACTAAAATAGCACACCCGTTTATATGAAGCATGTTTTCTAGCTTGTAAAATCGGATAGTTCAGTCCTTCCTATAACATGACATTTGTGAAATCAAAGATCTTAGACAATGTTCACCAAAATCGTTTCATAAATATTTTTCAAATAGAAGTTATTTATATTATTTATAATACAAAAAGCTTGCGCAGTAGGGCACCAATAAAAGATTTACATAAACAGAGCTGTTGTTGATTATCAAATACTCGTGTTGCTAAGATAATAAATCTCTTTTCTATAAAAGCTAGAATGCAGTATATGAAGAAAACATAGGACACGTTTTTACAGAGTTACGATAGTTATTTTACTCTTCATTTTTTGATGCATTAGTTATTTAAATCTTTCCATTGCTTGACGTTTTAGGTATCTAAAGGAATCGATACCATTTTGAGTTATTTTTAGTAGAGTATTGTAAACATTTTGGGTTAACCAATTTCGCGCAAGTTTTATTTTGTTAAATAATCAATACCAGTCATTCATTCTCTTTTTGATTAATGATTTCATACATTTACTTTTGTCCTAAAATATCAAAATATGTATGCTCGCTTTGTGTATTAGAGATAAAGGTGACAAATGAACCATGATCTTCTTCGATCAAGGTTTGATTAGTTCTTCTTTCAACCAAATATTTTAAAGGTCGTGTTCCAGTTCCCAGTTCAACTTTTAAAATGGATTCACCTTCTGGCTTCTCTCTAGTAAATAAGATTTAATTTGTGTTTGCATCATATGTGTATGGGATTATTGATACAAATGTTAACTTGATCTTGTGTTTTAAAAAGTCCGGTGTTCTGTTGAGAAAGTTATATTTATTTCTTTCTGGGATTATGTTTGTTGGTTACTGCTATGGAATCGGATTTCAAGCATTTTCTATGCTTTCGTTTTACATGAAGCTCCTTTGAGTGTGACACCTAAACTAAAATCTCTAAGTCTGATTTTAAAAACTTGCAATTAGAGAACGAAAATTCACTCAAAAAATTGAATCAGATAGAATAACTATACATTTATTATCAAATTTTGGCTAACATTAAAATACGAATTCAGGCGAAAGTTCGGTCTACTCAAGTTTTCTATCAATTGAATAGTAATGAGTAATATTTAATGAAAAAATTTTAAGAAAAAAAATTTTTTCAGACAGTATTATGATCATGAACTTCTAAAATGTGTAAACTGTTTACACTCTAATAGGTGAACGAGGACATATAATTCATTACTTTTATTTATCCAAACATAGTTTGTTGATTGTATAGCAGTTACACCTATATGGAGAAAGCGTAATTATTTTGATCTTTAGACTTGTCACAGTAGATGAATTTAGATATTGTCAGTTGTTTAACAGTTGATTGTTTATTTGCATCACTAATGAATTTTAATTAAATATTTACTGACATTATCGTTGGTAAATATTTAATGGTAGTGGCCTTCGTTTTGTGTTAAATGGTTACATGTTGAGTGTCTCATTTCAAATAAAACAGTTAAACGTTCATGTATAGCTTTTTGTTTCTACTGCATTACACAAGCTAAAAGCTATGGCATATTTTAAATTTTTTTTAAAGGCGCCACTTCTTATTTCGATGCCAGAAGTTCAAATTGTAAAAATGACTGTCTAGTTACAAAGAATAGTGAATCGGTTGACCATCCACATAAAGGAGCGCCAAACATATCTAGTAATCACCAGTTTGATTCAGGACCCAAACTGTGTAACGAATTTGATAGTTCCTCATCTCCACAATCAGAGTCAACAAAGCTATGCAATGTTACTTCTAGTAAGTTTTTACAAAATGTTTCAAATTTTTTTTTTTTTTTTATTATTAGAAGCTTTATTCAACATTATATTTTTGGTACAACATAGAATTCTCAGCATAAAGTATTTCAACAAGTTTCCTTTTCTTATACCTTGATCTATTGTGACGATAAATTTTGAATGATGACCGGTTAGATGTTAGGAGTTCGGTAATCCACATTTGATTAATGTTCGTTCGTTTCAATGCATATTGCCAGCCACCATGATGTCGATGATTGTACCTTTTTGTATCACGTATAGCGAAAGGTTGTAAACTTTTCATAAACGCGCCTGAATAGATTGTGTGCACAATGGCCATAATGATGAACTAAAACAAGCAACAAAACAGATAACTTGATGAAATATGTAGATCGGAGGAACAGGTAGCCCAGATATTTAAGCAGGCCGCCAATGATCATTTTATTATATTAATTACTAAATAGTGTATAAAAACCTCAAAAAACCAATGGGTATAAACTTTATGTCATCTGATTTTACGTCATCAAAATGACGATAATTTTTACTCGAGTTCAGTAGAAAGGTATCTGAAAAATATTGTATTATAGTAATGATGTCAGTGACTTCGACAGATACCCTGGTTAGTCAGATGGATATAGTGCTATCACCAGTTGTTCTCCGTAATTAGAAGTGATCATCTTTGTTTATGGTATCTTTTTTCTTTGAGATATTTGTGGTCTTAGTAGCAGTTTCACAATAGATTTGAATTATTTTAACTATACATCAAATGACAATCTAATAGTAATAATATTTGTTTCGAGCTTTTTATTAAAATTAACTTTGGTTACTGAATCGTCTAACATTATACAATTTATAAGTCCGTAAAAATGTCTTCATTTTATAGTTTTTTTTAAGTATCAGAATTCAAAAATCATATTACGAAATTCTATGTCATAGTTATAGATTCTCACTAGACCCAGCATTCTATCTTTAAATAGGCGAAGGAATAAATTTTCCTCATAGAATATTAAATTATTCAATCAGTTTACAAGGCTTACCAACATAACATTGTAGATTTTCATAACCCCTATTTTATGGACAACTTGCGCTTGATTTCATGTACGAAATAAGCTTTCAAATTATCAAGATTTTTTTTAAACAGCTAATAACCTTCACGACAGAAAAACAAACATCTATACCATTATTCAGTTAATCTTCTAAATAATTATATACAAATGTACAGGTTTTATAAATAATATTGTTGAAAAGAAATTCGTTTCGCTGATCTACACTCTTTCTAATTAATCATGTGCTCAGTTTTAAATTAGCGTAAGTCATACAGTTTATTCTTTATATGATGATGGTCTGAAATTATGTAAAGTTTGGAATTATTCAACATAATTTTTCATGAAATAACAAATAAAACTTTAACGCGAATTATCGTTATTATTATTCGTATATTGGTATTAAAAGTGTACCGAGTAATACTTCTTAATGCTAGATGCCAATAAAAAAATAAGTATGATCCAGAAAATAAGCAATTCTAATACTATATCAGTTCCCAAAAATAAACATTATTACATTTTATTCCTTATTAGAGCTTACACTTTTGCAGTTTGTGTTTGAAGCATTCAGAGGGATCATGGCTTAGTAGTTAAATATATTTTAAACAAGTGTTTTTATTTTCTTGTTAACAATACATTATCTCTTATTTGACGAGTTAATGAATGTTCTCCAAATCCCTGTTTTAAAATATATTAGGTAATGGTGATTCAAAACCTACTAGTAAGAATTATGTTCATGGACACGGGTTTCCATTTTTTCCATTGTTTTTGAATTCGCTGCTGAGATAATGTAATTTTTAGCTAAACACAAAATAGTAATTAGTTGAAAATTCACAAACATGTTCCTTTATAGTTTATTTATTAACTTACGATGCAATTAAATATAATCAGATTTTTCAGTTTAGGTGTTGTGGAGATTGTTAAGTTAGGACGAAACGGCCGTCCAGTGCTTCCAGGTTTTCCATGGTGGTCTAGCTTCAATTGACTCATGATTTCAATAAAAAATATTCAGATTTAATGGAAGTGTTGCGTGTTTATAGGCTTTTTCTCTACTGAAAAAACATTGATCAAACTGATTTATGTTGTAGTGAATTCTAACTTTAGGAAGTCTTTGAGAGGGACTAATGCATTTTATCGTTTGCACTAGATAATGTACTGTTAATAATGCTAAACCTAAAATAGATCATTTTACAGAAAGATGAATTAATGTTTTATGCAATAATATCTTAGACATTTAGCAATGTCGGATAAACTAACTTTAGTATTACCCCATTAGTTTTTTTAATTATGCAGATTTAAAGATCTTGATAATAATTTAAACAAATCGTAAAATCTGATAAGAAAAGTCGATTTTAGTAAATTTCAAACAACTACTGTAGATTCTGACGTTAACAAAACGAATCAATCGAGGTATCTAAACTCTACTAACATTTCATCTCTATTCATATATTATTTATGTCATTATAGTGTAATACTATATCTTGTCAAAATAGCCTATCCCTGAAAATAATGAAAAATCGCCCTACATTTGTATCCAAATACTACGTTACATAATTTAATATTAAATAAATTTAACTTTTCACGTATCTTTATCATGGATTAAAATTTGTCGGTATATATATATATATATATATATATATATATATATATATATATATATATATATATATATATATATATATATATATATATATATACCGGTTGCTATCAAAATGAATCGAAAAGTATTACAAAATAAATTGATAGTGAAATTTCTTTCTTAACTTGTTATTTTCTTATAGTAAGTACATTTATGCAATAATTATTTATTCATATGGTTAAGGGTAATTAATACAAAAGATATGTAAATATTTCGAAGTAAAATCTACTAGCAACAATTGAGTATTTAAGTGTAAATGTTTACGAATTAGTTTTTAGGATTTCAAAACTAATGATAACGAATTGAATAACTGATGTCTACTGAAAGTTTCACTTAGGGTACTATACAAAGGAATAGTGAATATGTAGAAATGATTGAAAATCGATACTTACCAACCTAATTGATACAACGTAAATGATGAAACACACTGAGTTTTAAAATAATTTTTAAATTTTTCCAAACTAATACGTTTTATGAGAATGGTATTTTCCTCTTCAACTGACATCCTTTGCTTACACGATCTAGTTCAAAATGACTGACATTTTGTAAAATGATCTCAAACTATTTTACTTTACCAGATAAATAAAGAAACAATTTTTAAGTAAAGATAGGTGGTGGATAGCGGTGGAGTCCAAGATGCACTCTTCGTTCTATTCGGAACTCATCAGCTGGATGTATCTGTATCGCAGAGTTGGTGTTCATTCCTGGAAATGGACCGAGTACCGAATAGGACGGAATGCGCGTCCTGGATTTCGCTGTTAGCTACCATCCATCTTTGCTTACAATACTTGTGACTTAAGGCAGTGTCGACGCAATCTACACAGAGTGCACATATGCCGAGAAGAGACTGATCAATTACAGCCCTAAAGATCACTATAAGAATCAAATAAAACAACACAAAATAAATTCAAAGAAATAGTTTATTTCTTACTAAACTGTTGGAGTCCACTACACAACTCAAATAACAGTAGTCTTTATGTGAAATGTTTATATTCTCTCACAAATATGCCAGTTTAGATACCCAACGTTTTTATTTTCATTTAATGCATCAACTAATTTTATTCCTGTCCATGTTTGATTTGTTCGAAATGGAACTTGATTTAGATGTGCTGACGATGTTGTTCAGAAGAATGATGAAATTTTCACGACCAAATCATCCAGCTCAGAGAACAAAACTCCATCAAAATAATTATTTACAAATTTTTATATGATCTGAAATTGTTTTGAAAAAGTTAACCACTTTCCATCTGAAATAATCAATGAAGTATGATTTTCTTACAATTCTCTAAGAACTAGTTACATTCAATAATCATGATACGTTTTTACAGCAGAACGTTTGGTACTTATTGTATAAGATGACTGCATTACTAAACAACACTATCATAGTCAATATTTCTTCAACTATTTTTAATCTTAAGCTTTAACGTTTAATAAGGTTTGAAGATCATAATTCCTTTTTAAAGTACTTTCTAAAATTAATATCTTCAAATGTCCAAGGACTTTAATCAGTTATTTAGTTAACAGATTGTTACTTTAATTCTGGCACCTTTCTCTGTAATTTTATTGAGTAAATAATAATTAAGAGAAGCTGAACACACAACTTGATATCCTCGCTACTTATTTCAGATGAAGTTGATTTATAAATATATGTCCATGCAAAATTAAAATACTTTCTATAGAAATATATTTTTGTCGAAGTTCAATTAAATATATTTTGGATCCTAAAAAGAATACAGCAAATAATAAAGGATCGTGCTATTACTTTTACAGTTTTTTTTCTTTATGATAATTTAACCTCATGAAAGGCTTACATGATTCCTTAAATATTTCACTTAAGAAAGTTTACATAGGCTAATAAAGTTGTGATGTTTTGTCCATTTTATAGGCAACTAATAACTTAATGATAGACATTTTTGTATAATAAAACTTGTTTAGTTGACATTTAAAACCAATTAGTTCTTTTTTCATAATGGCAGTAGGTCTACTATGATTAGAGAGATTTGTAAATAGTTTGACACGTATAAAGTATCAGTGTTAATGAAAACCTTCTTAAAAATCTTAAGAAAATTTCCTAAAATATAATCGAGTATTTTCAAGTTATACTGTAGTAAAAATGTTGAACGTTACATCATTGTATCCAGCACTATTTAATCACTATAGTAAAGCGTGAGAAATATTCTAGTTTTAACATATGTTACCAACTTAATGACTGAATGCTTTATAACTCTCAAAGCATATTGTCAAATATGTAATTTAACTGTAAAAAAATGTTACTTAAACATACATTATTAGTACATGTTTAGTACACATTATTAGTATATT